CAACCGTGAGCCTGAAGGAATAGACATGCCACAATTGGCAAGTGTGAAAGTTCAGAGGCCGGGTAGAACTTGTGGTTCAAACCCTGGATCAGCATCCAGGGGCCCCGCGAGACTGCCGCTGTTGGGGAAGAGTTAACTCTGGGTGGCCGGCATCTTTACCTGTGCGTTTTCTTTGTGCTTCAGCTTCCATGACGTGTGATCAGTTGTCAATCATGAACCTCTAATTATTTTTGCTTCTCTTGAGTTCATATTGTTTTTGCCAGGTCACATTGGCTTCGCTACTCTGAGTCTGTGTTAAGTTCGATCCGTCCGACACTGGCACTGGCATCGTGAGAGACGATCGGCGTTCTCGTCCCAGACATCAGACCAGGGTATCCATCATGCAACAAAGAATTCAATGTGGCTGACGGCTGTAGTAAATGGATACACCAAAAAGTCACGGCCAAGACCAGGCGCAAGGACGCGGCGAGGACCTGAATAAACGCACAATTTGAATGGTCGGAAGTACGGGAGTGGAGTTGAAGCGTCGATGAGAGTTTGTCTATTCCTCAGTTGGGTAGCATCGGTAGGGCACGGTACCTGCATCAGGGGTAAGGTCCTTGCAGAGGTGGGCTCTTTGGGTGAAGTTGTGCAGAGATGAAGCTTTTCATAGACGTGCGTTGTGCAGATATGCAGAGTCAATTGGATCATTCCTCTGTGCACACTAATGCAAGGTACGCGCCAATGAAAATAGTGGGATCGTTTTAGGGGACGACAAGTAAACGGCCCCCAAGACGGAGCGGTAAAAGGGTGCTGTGCCCTCCATAACTTGACTCCTTATTGGCCGCCATTCCTGACGTTAGCTCTTCCTGCCAAAATAGGCAACCGAGAAACGGTCCGGTCTTACCCTATCGAACCGTTGTCTGACGAGGAGGGAAGGCGTCACCAGATAGCTTCAGCTGGCGCCACACTTCTTTTTGGCCATCTCGATTCTAGTTTTATATGACGTTATCAAATCATGTTGCTCTACTCAATACCGAGATTGATATTGGTCAAGTCATCTCGAATCAGACCGGACGAACCTGTTTGTCAAGGTTACAGCAACCAATACGACATGACGCGCTTGATGGTCGAAAGCACTTGTCATGATGGATGTTGATCATCAGACCCGCAACATGACAGCCGGAAGACTCAGCCAGAAACTGAAGCTCCCGGGCCATCGGTTTATCATCCCGCAAGATTTCGAACTGGCCCAATGACTGCATGATGACTGGTAACAGGCAGTTGGCGTCTCGGACAGGCCCCTGCTGCTAGTCCTAACGTTCTCCAAGTCCCGAATCCTGTCCTCTCGATGTGAATATTCAAAACTTTTACCGAAAGAAGACGCATGAGCAATGTGAAGATCAAACATATGGCACGTGTCCCGCCCTTCCCTCGGCTACGAATAGCAAATCCACAGCTTCAGGGGATTTCTGTCCCTTCAGCCACATATCTCGACCTCGCACCTTCAACCCGCCCTGATACTGTACTACATTTGACGTCATGTCTTCGGTTGACGAAGGCTACCGGTACACATGACTGTCACCGAAAACCTCTGTCAGTCCAGTATTGGGAGACCAGTATTGACTCGGGCTTCAGCAAGGCTATCCAGTACTCCATTACAAGAGTCAGGGTAGTATGGGTTCCCTTCAATTACCCGACAAATCCATTCCTCATGGATTTCAACTTGGTCGCACTTCCTTGGGGGTTTCTTATCGGTTCTCAGCGCTGTCCCAAGAGAAGGCGCGATATCTTTACCGGTGCTGGTAATTTTTGGTTGCATTTGTTGAATGGTAAGTGGCACAGCCAATTGACTCCCTTGATCCACAATTGGTTTCGAGAATTCGAGAAACACGACCCATGGTTTTGGATCATAGCTTTTTTCGTTATTCAATTATGAAAATTGGAACAATTGCATCCTGAATTCCCATCAAGATGCTGATTTATGCTAGTCAGCCTCGCCAGTCGCATCGTTGATCCTGACTCATCCTTCTTCAACAATCTCGTCAGATCTGTTGGATCCACGTTCCGACAACTCCCATGTCGACAATAGCAGGGGGGATCCAAAAAGGGGAACGCGATGACATTCTCTGCGGAATCTTGGGATCCTTAGCTCTTTTCAAAGAACCTTTTCACAAAGCAAGCTACAATTTTCGAGGTCAGGTTTATATCGTCATAAACTCTGTCTTTCGTTTCAGAAATAAGCCTCCGATATCGTCGGTAGCATCAATCATGACACGGGTTTCCTGAATTGTACTCGTACCTGCATCAAAGGATCCAGCGAAGGATCGTACCACAGCAATGCCACCACGCCACGGCATGTCTCGTTGGCATGAAAGACTTGCATGTTCGGGATTTGCTGCGAAGGTGTGTATGCTGAGACCCTGTTCCTGCAGTAGTTCAATCCATCGTCATCTGGTGGGCCACAACACGGCTTACTGTGTGATGTTTTCTCTTGACCCCTTTTCTCGTGGTTCTCTTGTGCGAAACACTTGCGATCGACGCTTGTTCAAGCAAAATCAGCCTGACATTGGGGCCAAAGGTCGGTCGCGCCTTGGCAACTTTAGCGTCCACCAGATTATTCCGACTTGGCTAACAATGAATAGTGTATTGAACGGAAGCAGAATGAAACTATCCAGAGACTATCGGCTTCAGCGATGAGCGGTCCTACGGCCACCGCCATCTAACCATAACAAAGCCTCGACGGTTGTGGCTGTAATACGAAAAGTCTCGACCTTACTACAGTAAGCATGAAGCATTGACACACACAACATCCTTTGATGGATGACAGGAAAATGGTGCTTCAGAGACATGTTTTCTTTTGCCGGATCCGACCCTTTTCCCGGGCGCGTCCGGAGTGACATAAAAGATCCGACATGATAGATCAGAAAACACAAGATGCATGTCGAATTGTTTTCATCGTCAGCTTGGTACTTACCAGTTTTGGCACCGTTACCCCTGACTTAGACCCCTGGAGGTGCATCTGGGGCATGCATGATACCTTGCAGGATCAGCATGACAGAGCCAACCACCGTCGAGCCACGTCTCCGCCAGGCGGCCACATGCCATTGGGTCCACCAATGTTGGAGTTTTACCTCACCCGATCAAGTCTAGGGGGTCAATCGCCCTAAACTCCTTTTTCTTTGAGCTCTGGTCAAGGCAGTTGTGTTCCTGAAGCTGAGAGCATGCACCCTGCCCACTGAATTGTGCTTGCATAAATGCCGGAATATCATGAGAGCTTATGGTTGGTGGATTTGTGTTCGACAACAACACCACGAAGTAGCTTGAGGATTCTTGATGAACAATTCAACCAATTGCACCACGAATGAACCATTGCTATTTATTCGTCTTACCTCATCACCAGAGACTTTTGCTCTCATGCTCCCAGTTTCTGAGGTCAGAAAGCACAGACAAGAATGAGCACCGTTCGATGAACCCTACTGTCGATCGAGTTTGGCCGACCCCTGGCCGCAGTCACACTGACTTATCAATCCTCTGACCAAATCCGAAAAGTCCAACCGACATCCTGCATGACGAATCACGAATCCTACCAATGGCGGCAAAGTTCATACTGGAGACGATATGCATATGCATCCATGACGGGGATGGCAGCGCGTCGAGCGCGTTTGCTGACCACTTGATTTCAGTTCTCACCATCTGTTGCAGAATTGGTATGCACCACTCAGGAGATATCTCCCTTCAGAGCATCCCTAGATCCTAAGAATAACTTGTCCAGACATGGCATGACAATGATACGAATTCTCAGACGCTGTTGGTAACATGCCAAGCTTGGCGGCTCATGCTAGCTAACAGGTATGGGGCTCTCAGCATCATGCCCTTCAGCTGCACCGCTTGAAGGACAGCTGAAGCCCCGGCTGAGCACGTTTACGTCTCTACCTAGCAAGACGCGCTGAAACGTGAGTCGCTCCCCTGTTTGGTCAACATGCGCCAAACAAGGGTTGTGGGACGGACCAGACTGACAAAATGGGGGCGTCTAAGATCTTTGACGTCGTCTATCATGGCATCTCAGGGGATTCACTATTGACTCAACCGCGGTCTCAATTTGGCTTAACCAGCATCACCGGTGGACCCTTGGACCCGGGGTCGCTTCTTTCCGGCCTCAATTGAACTGTGACCCCGTTTAGTCGATCATCAACTCCATGAATCGAGTCACGTCAATTCAAGCGGTCGATTTAAGAAAGGGGACAAGTTTATTTACTAACAACAAGCTATGACATATTAGTCGACGCCCGCGACTTTGGAAGAATCTCGGAATCTCTCCCTTGCATAAGCTACGACACCGACCAAGACCACCAAGCTATCTACGGAGCTATTGAGCATGTCACCGCGATGTTGAGTCCGGTGATCTGGATGTCACGATCCATGCCGATCTACAAAAACTTTACTATAACGGCACAAGGTTGAGCGGGTTACCTGATGCCACAATGCGGTGCATGTTGTCTAAATTGGGAGATGTGTCTGCTGGAAAGACATGTGGGATTGAGAGTGCAACATGCTTTGACTATTCAACTCAGTGTTACCACTGTCAGTAACTTTACAGACCATTGAATGGACCGAGGCGTGTCTGAACTTTGGGTTACCAATGTCATGGTGCTTGTCGAATGCCATGAGACTTGGGTCTCATACATACCAGCCAAAGGGTCTCGCCAGCATTGGATATGTACTACGTAAGACCTGGTCCGTGGATCACGATCTGAGTTGTACGATGTGACCATGGTGCAACGGCACGGTAAGCGAGCCGTGCTATGTCGATGCCTTGACGGCCGCAGAGGACTCGGCATAGATCAAGGTTAGCTATCGTGCCACTTGTGGGGTCAACTTTGGCAGACTGGGAGTCGCGGTGGTGTATGGGCATTTTACTGATATGGGAGGTTTAGAGTTCATCATGATCTGGAAATGATGTGACAAACATTTTCAGGAATCACCTCGCCTTGGAGAGATTCGCCCGATGCCTATGCAGCTCAAAGATCTCTCATCACCTCCTCCACAGCCCTGGCTGCCATTCTCTTCCTCTGTTCCTCTCCCATCCCCTCGCCGGCTTCCCTCACAGCTTGGAGTTTTCTCATCATCTTTTCGATCTTGGCGATCTCATCCTCATCCAGTTCCTCTAACCCAATTCCCCCAGAAGCACCCTCCTTGCTGGTCTCTGCCTTGCTGGGTTCTGAAGGTTCCTCAACATCCTGGCTGGACTCCCATATGGCGCGTCGTAGACCTTCAAAGTCTGATTTATCGAAGCCAAAGCCCATCTTTTGGGGATCTAATTCTTTGTCGTCCTCATCGGCCTTGGCTGAGCTCGTTTCAAAGTCACCAAACTCGGAATCCGATAGTGGTGCTTCGAGTTGAGACCAGTCATTTGCTTCGAGGGCTTCTTTTACTCGCGCAACTCCTGTTTTTTCTTGTCCGTGTTAGTAACTTGCTGTGAGCGACAGATTCAACATACCGCCAAATTCGTTTCGACCAGTGTCGCCTTTTCCTCCAAGAGACACAAACTCCAATCCGGCCTCGGCGCAGATCTCATCCCACTCCTCTTCGTTGCCATCTCCTCCCACGCCGATAGCTAGTCCTACGCCATCCCACTCCCATCCCCCCAGTCCCTTCTTCAGGACTTTGCCTATGTGCTCTACTAGTTCCTTTGCCGGGTGGTCCTTGGATGATGAAATCGGACCAGCGGTGAAGACTACTACTACACCCCCTAACACGGCGAGCACTTCAGCGGCTTCGGGAGAGAGAAATGACTCTGACCATTCAGAAGGTGAGGCGATTAGGTCAAGCCAGATGGGAACTGTAGTGGAATAGTATGGTGTTTTGAGGGCGAGGCTATGAGTTGTGCCTGCGATGCCGAGGGAAGGATCTGGTGATTCTGGGGCTGATCCTGTGAGGTCTGCGACGTGTTAGTGAATGTTGTCGTGAATTGTGCTAGTGTGTATTTCGTAGATGGCCACCGGGACATCTCAACAAAGTAAACTCACCTTTCACCAACTTTGACAAAACTGCTGTCTCATTCTCAAGGGCAACAGCCAGTATTCTTCTTGAGCTGGAACTCATCTCGGCTTCAGTCATCGTGGCGGCTGTATATGCAAGCCTTTATTCTTTTTCTGCAAAATGAAATGCGATGAATGCCGAAAGAGAGAGTGACGGGTATAAGACTTGTACTTGATGAATGAGATTGGTAAGGGATGTGTAGATGATGAGTGAGCGACATTGGTGGGGTGGAGGGGCTGATAAGATAATAAGAGAGTTACCCTGGACCACTGCTCAAAACATCAAATTCGTCAGTATCATATCTAATTAGAGCTGAGGGAAACAGTTTTACTCTTGGGTGTTTAGCTCTTGTATGTTATGAGACTATAAGACCCTCCGCTACCATCTGGATTCCTTGGAACCTAGTGATGTCGTGTCTGTGGTGGTCTAATTCACAACATAAGAAGTTCATATCCAAACAGCATAATACAGAACAACAGCTCATACATAAACGAATAACATTTTGAGTTGGGAATAACTATCATGAATCATAAATAAAAACCAATGCAAGCAAATGCAATCTTGATACGCCAACGCTTCCATGCAAACCCAGGAGCGAGCTCAATCTAATGCCCCCAACACCAATCCAAACACCATCAAATACAAGGCGAATGTCGTCCACTCCCCTCTCCATCTCCTCCCCATCCAAACGTTCGTTGCAACACCTCCAATCCCGCTCTCATTCCTCTTGCAGAATCTTCAGCCCCGGGCGCCACACACTCGTCCACGATATCATCACGGCTCAGCCGTCCTCGTCGCCTCGTCTGAATCGCCTGCTCAATGGGCCGTCGCCAGAGTCTGAACCACTGATCTTCACTCATACATGCATATCGTAGCGTTCCCTGTCTGTCAGGGCGACTTAGCGACCACTCCACGAATACCGTCTCGTACCACCTCGTCCGCAGCGACACCCACGGCCAAGTGAATATCCACAGAAGAGTAAGATAAAAGAGAAGAACAATCCATCGTGTGAGGCGCCATCGATTGGTTAGGCAGCGGTTGTATATCTCAACGCGGGCATTCGTCGTAGGAAACGTAATGTTGACTTCCCCACGATATCCCGTCCCCCGCACCAGACTCTCCAGTCTAGACCCCACGAGGGCGAAATCCCAGCCCGTCAAGCGCCGCTCTAGAACAAACACCTTTAGACCGGCTCTGCTCGCACAGTATCGATAGCACCATTGCGCAACACCCGGCGTGCCCTCCTCAGGCGGTCCGCTGCCCCCAAATCCCGGTGCGCGTGTCATAGTCGCTGTCCCGCGGCGCACCTTGTCGAAATTGTTCACGGCGCGTATGCGTCTCCACGAACGACGAGTTGCCATCTCTTGATACAGCAGGGGCGTGAGTTCAATGTGGATGTCAAAGTCGATCCCATCCTTGCTGGACTTGCGGTCTACACCCTGGATGCGAACGTATGGTCTTGGTGGTTCCTTGGCAAGCTCTGATATGTGCTGCTCGAGAAACTCAGGGTCTGTATCAAGACGCTTGTCGAGATAGTAGACTACCTTGTCGTTGGAAGTCCCCTTGAAGGGATGCAGACCAAGGGAGGATGAGCTGGTGGGCAGCAGGTCAAACGGATTGGCGTGAGGTCCCTCATTGTCGACTACAGTGTAACTCGGAGGCGGATCATCCTCTGAGCGGTCCGTATAAGGCGTTGCATTCTGCTGTTGTCGCTGATCCTCAGGGTAATGATGCATCGGCATCTGCGAAGTAGACGTTTGCCCACTCGTCACGCTCTCCGAGTCCAAGTGCGGAGGAGTCTGCGACGTTCGCTGCGATGCCATTCTAGACGCTATCCCAACAGCGAAAAGAGTTAATCGCCCTTGACGGGTTGACGAAGAACGATATATAAAAAAGTCGGAGATGCTGATCCAAGTTCTAGATCCTGATGGAGTGATGAGCACGTGCCCGATTTGACCTCGCCACAGCGGTACACGTAAGTATTGGCTGTGAAGCACTGCTAAAAAGTCGGCGGTAGAAAAATGAGGGGGGAAGAAAAAAAAGATAGTAGACAAGAGGGGGGAATACGAGCAAGCGAATGAAACTATTTTATAAGACAAGAGCTAGAGTTGATGCTATGTTGTCAAGTCGTCAAGGCCAACGAACCCAGTGACCAAGATACGTACCTTGCCTTGCCCTTGAGGTGTCAGTGAAGCTGGTGCTGCCTGAGAGTCATGCATGCCCTGTATTGAGTGAGCAGGGTCAATGCAGTTATTGAAACATTTATATGAATAGACACATAATCTATAATGTATGCACCTCAATAGCAGAAGTCGTATTAAACTATTCACGTATCGGTTCATGCAATCTCGACGCCGAATTGCGGAGAAGATCTCATCCACTTTGACCCACTTTGGCATTGACGATGGCTTCATTTGATGACACTAGATTACGACTACAACAATATCCTGAGGCGTTTAGACTCGCGCCACAGCATTTCTACGCATCACAGCACCAGTCAATGCTCAAAACTCATAATTATAGGCATACGCCTTCTATAATTTTATTCAAGTCCACGGCTCATACCACAAATATACATGTACTGAATCCCGGAACCCATCTCATACTTTTAATCCTCCTCTTCTATACGCGGTAGCCTCTCTTTCTCCTCCTATGGATCAACGTCCACCAAGCGTCCAGAATCCCACTTCTTCTTCGCCGCCTTGAGGAGAACATCCAGCTCACCACTCATCTCGCACATACTGCGGAATGTACCATCCTTGTTGTTGATGAGTTCCCACGGGTGAGCATACTCCACCACCTCGCCCTTGTCGAGAACCAGCACCTTGTCGTAATCTACAATGGTTGCTAGTCGATGAGCAATTGTGATGACGGTGCCGGTGAGCTCGCGGATTGTTTCTTGAATCTTTGAGTCGGTGGCGTAGTCGATGGAGGCTGTGGCTTCGTCCATGACTAACACTGTGGGAGACTTGAGCATGGCTCGAGCAAGACACAGAAGCTGGCGCTGTCCTTGGGACAAGTTCGAGCCTGATGCCGCGACTGGTGATTGAAGATTCAAGAAAATGTTCTTGTTGGTCTTGGCAGTCGGTGAGTTAGGCGAGCCAGGGGTTTGTGTAGGCGTAGGCGGTGATGTTAGAGGCTCATCAGGACCAATGAGCTGTACTCGTCGAAGCGCCGCAAAGATCTGATCATCTGTGTATTGATCAAATGGGTCCAGGTTGCTTCGAATTGTACCATGGAACAACGTAGGATCCTGAGGCACAATGGTGATGTTCTCTCGGAGATCTTGCAGACCAATGCTGCCAATCTCAAGTCCGTCGATGAGAATCTTGCCCTTGTCTGCCTCTAGCGCTCGGAAAATCGCCAGGGCCAGAGAACTCTTGCCTGCACCTGTTCTTCCAACGATGCCAACCTTTTCTTGCGGCTCAATCTTGAGTGTGATGTTCTGCAAGACAGGGTTGAGCTCCTTTCGGTAACTTGTTGTGTAGTCGACAAACTCGACCGACCCCTTACGAGGCCAGTCTGCTGGAGGTCGGCTGTTCTCAATGACAGCCTCCGCCTCTTGCTCGACATCGAGATACTCCTTGATTCGTTCCATAGAGTTCATGTTTTGCTCGTTAATGGCATAGAGGCGTACAAGCCACAACACACTCTCAGTAAAGCTCAAGGCGTAGCTCAGGGAAATACCCGCAGCTCCCGCATCCGTCTTACCAAGGTTAAGAATAAGGAACATGCCAGCAAAGAAGGCCACCAAGTCTCCCACAAGATCAGCCCTAAAGGCCAGCCATCTATTGCATGCCCACAGGTAAATGAAGGGTCGACTCTGAGTGTTGATCTTCTCCAGATTGTCTCGGATGAATCGTCGCTCGTCACCATACGCTCGAATGGTTGTCATACCACTCAATGTCTCTCCAAATTGCTGGAACAGAGGACTGCGCTGAACTGCCTCAAGACGCTTCAGATCACGAGAGGCGCGGAGGTAGAAAGAGGCAATGAGGTAGAACAGAAGAGCAATGCCAGTAGCGGCGTACAAGAATTTGGGTGTGATGTATGCAATTAGGCCAACGGTCATCATTAGAGAAATTCCACAGCTAATCACTCCAATTGCCACGGGTGCTATTTCTTGATCAACCGCCTCCAGATCTTTGCTGAATCGGTTCATCAATTGGCCTAGCGGAGTGACATCAAAGAATTTGAACTTGGCTCGCGTGACAGAGGCTATCAACCGATCGTGAATGCCCTTTGATGCCGTCAACGAACCCAGGAAGATCCAGAGATCTCTGAAGAGAGCTGCCAGGGCACCGGCAATTCCAATGGCAGCGAGAACGGTCAGGTAGTACATAGCATTGACCCCATGCGGGTGGTCTTGCGTAGAAAAGGACCCATCGAGAGGCTTCAGGTCTTCCGCAGAGCCAAGTCGGACAACATTGGCAAAGCCGACGGCGTTGAATTTTGTAGAAGAGTACATGGCCGGCATGACCTTTGACTCTACTGTACCATGGACGTATTGGTTCGCCCATACACGTACCCAGAGGTTGGTGGCCAATCCAGAGACCTGCTGAGAAATAAAGACGAAGAGAGCAACAATCCAGAACCACCAAGGGCCCATAGATTGAAGGTACAGTTTGAGAACGGGCCACTTGACTGACCCAGTGGCCTTGGTTTCTTCCATGGCATCCTTCTTGGGTTTGTTCTGCGCGTCCTTCTTAGAGCTATCAACACCATCGAGAGCATCGCCTTGTCCATTAACAGTGGTTTCATCATCGCCGACGCTTGAGGGAACACGAGAAGGAATGCGCGAGGGATTGGCTGAGCCGGGGTGAGACTTTTGAATCTCCTCACCGAGCTTGCCGGAAGCAATAACCTCAGCTGAAGGACCTTGGATATCAACTCGGCCATTCTCAAGAAGGACCACATAATCGGAAGAAGGAACACAAAGCGTCGTGTTGTGTGTGACGAGGACACAAGTGCGGTTTCTCATGAGGGGTCCACGAATGCAGTTGCTAAAGATCCATTGCGCGGTGTGTGAGTCAACAGCGCTGAGACAGTCGTCAAGTAGCAGATGGGCAGAGTTGGAG